GTTGTAAATCTGAGGATGATGACACTGATGATGATGATGACCATGATGATGATGATGACCATGATGATGATGATGACCTTGATGATGATGATGATAACCTTGATGATGATGATGATGACCTTGATGATGATGATGACACTGATGATGATGATGACCATGATGATGATGATGATGACCTTGATGATGATGATGACCATGATGATGATGATGACCTTGATGATGATGATGACCATGATGATGATGATAACCTTGATGATGATGATGACCTCGATGATGATGATGACCTTGATGATGATGATAACCTTGATGATGATGATAACCTTGATGATGATGATGACCTTGATGATGAGGAGTGAAAGAAAACCGAGGTGAAGATGCGGAAATGAGATGCAGGATGGCTGTGGGAGAGGGGGAGGGTAACATGTGGGTAGGTGAGTGGGAATAGGAGGGTAGGTGAGTGAGGATAGATGGGTAGGTGAGTGGGGACAGATGGGTAGGTGAGTGGGGACAGATGGGTAGGTGAGTGAGGATAGATGGGTAGGTGAGTGGGGACAGATGGGTAGGTGAGTGGGGACAGATGGGTAGGTGAGTGAGGATAGATGGGTAGGTGAGTGGGGACAGATGGGTAGGTGAGTGGGGACAGATGGGTAGGTGAGTGAGGATAGATGGGTAGGTGAGTGGGGACAGATGGGTAGGTGAGTGGGGACAGATGGGTAGGTGAGTGGGGACAGATGGGTAGGTGAGTGAGGATAGATGGGTAGGTGAGTGAGAATTGGTGATTGTCACGGCTACGAGTTTTATTTACACGCTTTTATATTCAACTCACTCTGTCTGTTGGTGTTGTCATATCCTCAAATCTTGAAACTCAATTTTAACCCACTTCCCAATGTGGTATCGAATGCAAACTTGGTATACTGATGCCATACTGATGACAATACCATATTCTATCACAATTTTTTTAAATATATATTTTAAACATTATTTTTTACATGTTATGTTTCGGCTTGGGTCTAATTGCCCACGGTCGCTTACGTTATGGCAAGCTTCGGGGCCACTTCCTGGAGTCGTGGAGTTCATCTATTACTAGTACGGTACATTCCATGAAAGCGTGTTTTTAAGAAAGTTTTTTTTTTAATATTACTTATTTTTTTAATCGGAGATCGTGGCTAATGTCTGACGGCTCTGCAATGCAAAATTCGAGACGGGAAGTCATGCCTCATGCCCATGCTCGCCTAGGATTGGCTACGTACAGTTACTCTAATATAAGTTCAACGAACTACATATAGAGACTCACACAGAGACCCATAGACTCACACAGAGACCCATAGACTCACACAGAGACCCATAGACTCACACAGAGACCCATAGACTCACACAGAGACCCATAGACTTACACAGAGACGCATAGACTCACACAGAGACACATAGACTCACACAGAGACCCATAGACTCACACAGAGACACATAGACTCACACAGAGACCCAGACTCACACAGAGATCCATAGACTCACACAGAGACACAGACTCACACAGAGACACACAGACTCACACAGAGACACAGACTCATACAGAGACCCATAGACTCACACAGAGACCCATAGACTCACACAGAGACCCATAGACTCACACAGAGACACATAGCCTCACACAGAGACCCATAGACTCACACAGAGACCCATAGACTCACACAGAGACCCATAAACTCACACAGAGACCCATAGACTCACACAGAGACACATAGCCTCACACAGAGACCCATAGACTCACACAGATACCCATAGACTCACACAGATTCCCATCGACTCACACACAGACGCATAGAGACTCACACAGAGACGCACAGACTCACACAGAGCGTCTATGGGGAGGGGATGGCGGGTAAGAGGCGTTGGGGTAGAGGAGGCGGGGTGGGGGGGCAGTCCGGAGTCCAAGATGCAGGAATGTGGATGAGCCGGTGGGACCGAGCAAATCCGGAACATCACCGCGGTAGATTCTTTCTCTCGGGGGGGGCGGGGGGGGAGTCCCCGGGCAAGAATCGCGACTCATGCCCACACACACACGCACATACGCGCACGCACACGCACACACACGCGCACACACACGCACACACGCACACGCACACACGCACACGCACACACACGCGCACATACGCACACCCACACACACGCGCGCACACACACGCACACCCACCCACACACGCACACGCGCACACGCACACCCACACACACGCGCACACGCATACACACACGCGCACACACACGCGCACACGCGCACACACACGCACACGCGCACTCAGTGACACGCACACACGCACACAGTGACACACACACGCACGCACACACGCACGCACACACGCACACACGCACGCACACACACACGCACACACACACGCACACACAAAAATCCCCCCGTATAGCCTTAACAGACTGTTCGGGGCAAGTGCTGTTAGCGAGCACCTATGAAGGCCGGAACGGTACACGAGGGGGGTGGGTGGCCAGCAACACGCCCGACCGCCTTTGTCTCCCCAGTGGCAATGTTTACACACCACACCAGGTACTCATTTAAGGCTGAGTTGACCTAGGGGAGGCCCAGGACCGGTTCAGATAATCGTCACTGGTGTTAGCCGTGAGCGGGAATCGAACCCAGGTTGCCAAGTTCATAGCGCAGCGCGCTAACCGCTGCACTACCGCTCCCCACACACACAGACACACGCACACACACTCACGCACACACACACACGCGCACACACCCACATGCGCACACACCCACACACACACGCACACACGCACACACACACGCACACACGCACACACACACACACACGCGCACACACACGCACACACACACGCACACACGCACACTCACACACTCACACACATACACTCACACACACTCACACACACACGCACACACACACACTCACACACACTCACACACTCACACACATACACTCACACACACACGCGCCCACGCAGTTCGCTGGCGGCTGTTTCGAAACCACGCTTCAGGAACTCCGCGACTCCCTTCCCCCTCGTGCCGCCAGGGCGAGTTTCGTTTCTCTGACACGCGGACCGAGGTCGTGAGACGAACCTACGGGGGGTGCAGGGGGGGCTTGGTGACTCCTCGAGATATTGGAAGTCGTAATCTTGAGCTGCGTGTGTGTCTGCGTGTGTGTCTGCGTGTGTATCTGCGTGTGTATCTGCGTGTGTGTCTGCGTGTGTGTCTGCGTGTGTATCTGCGTGTGTATCTGCGTGTGTATCTGTGTGTGTGTGTCTGCGTGTGTATCTGTGTGTGTGTCTGCGTGTGTATCTGTGTGTGTGTGTCTGCGTGTGTGTCTGCGTGTGTGTCTGCGTGTGTATCTGCGTGTGTGTCTGCGTGTGTGTCTGCGTGTGTGTCTGTGTGTGTGTCTGCGTGTGTTGCGCACCGCACGTAGACAGGTCGAAACGAAACATGTTTTACTGGTAGGAACCTCCTGGTTACACCAGCCCACAGGGGATTATTGTGTCCGCCCGTCGGAGGGGCTGGGTGGGAAGGGGAGGGGAGGGTGGGGAAGGGCTGGGTGGGGAGGGTGGGGAGGGGCTGGGTGGGGAGGGGCTGGGTGGGAGGCGTGGGACTGGGGGGGGAGGGTGGGGCTGGGTGGGGGGTGGGAGGGGTGGGGCTGGGTGGAGAGGGGTGGGGCTGGGTGGGGAGGGGCTGGTCACCCCGTGGTGCCCTTATAAAACTCAACGTTTAACCTACTCACGCCGGTTTGTGCCCGCCCTCACAGTCGGGCATATTTGCGGAATACACCACGCCGCCGTTGACCCTGGCCATTGACCGAGCAACCCAACGTTCCTACCAGCTCCCTCCGCAGGAGGAATGTGTTGTTATTTTTAACCAGGTAAGGCCCCCACTGAACTATGTAGCTCTTTTTCAGAAGCGACCTGGCCACAAATGATAGGTCAACGAAGTGGCTTATCATCATCTTCAGCAACCAAACACTCTAAACGCGTGATGTTGTTGAATCTAAATGTGGAGGGAAAACCCCGAGGGCCGGAAAGAAATTCACGCGACCAGAGAGACGCAGACTCCAAATATACAGGGTCTCTGTGTGAGTCTATGTGTCTCTGTGTGAGTCTATGGGTCTCTGTGTGAGTCTATGTGTCTCTGTGTGAGTCTATGGGTCTCTGTGTGAGTCTATGGGTCTCTGTGTGAGTCTATGTGTCTCTGTGTGAGTCTATGGGTCTCTGTGTGAGTCTTTGTGTCTCTGTGCGAGCCTATGGTCTATGTGTGAGTCTTTGTGTCTCTGTGTGAGTCTATGGGTCTCTTTGTGAGTCTGTGGGTCTCTGTGTGAGTCTATGTGTCTCTGTGTGAGTCTATGTGTCTCTGTGTGAGTCTATGTGTCTCTGTGTGAGTCTATGGGTCTCTGTGTGAGTCTATGGGTCTCTATGTGAGTCTGTGTCTCTGTGTGAGTCTATGGGTCTCTTTGTGAGTCTGTGGGTCTCTGTGTGGGTCTATGGGTCTCTTTGTGAGTCTATAGGTGTCTGTGTGAGTCGATGTATGTACCATGTTGAAATTATTTCGCACCATACGTGCCAACCGTGCTAATTGACGGTGCGGGGTGGGAAGCACAACAAAGTACTAGCTCAAGAAATGAGCTCGTCAATCTCGACGACGATGACGACGACGATGATGATTTTAAAGTGCATAGCTCTGTTGACTTCCTAATGTCGGTCAGGAAGAGCGTTCCAGACGGCCGCAGAAGCAGCAGCGCAACTGACAGCGCCGCGCGATGACGACGACGACGACGAAGATGATGACGATGATGACGATGACGATGACGACGGTGATGACGATGATGACGATGATGACGATGATGATGACGCTTTGACCGTCTTTGTTCTACGGCTCAGCCAGCCAATGACGACAACGACGACGATGATGGTGGTGGTGGTGGTGTTTGGGATAAACACAAAAACTGCATCACAAATCTCACTCGAGTGATGTACTTGTGCCGCAGCAATGCCGGATTGGATCTAAATCTGGAGCTGGATTTGCTTCGGAACCTGGATCGGGATCGGGACCGGGATCTGGTTCGAGATCTGAATCCTGATCCAGAAGGAGATCTGCTCCGGCATCTGAATCCGAATCCCCCATCGGGAACCGGTTCGGGATCTGAATCCTGATCTGGAGCGTAGTCCGTTGCGGGCATCCGGCTTGTGCGCCATGGATCGGCTGCCGTCTGCGGGCGGATCGAAGCGTCTGAGGCCGTGGCTGCTGGAGCAGATCGAGAGCGGCCTCTACCCGGGTCTGCGCTGGGAGGACGACTCCAAGGCCACGTTCCGAATCCCCTGGAAGCACGCGGCCAAACACGACTACTGCCAGCAGGAAGACGCGGCCCTTTTCAAGGTCAGCCCAGAAGCAGTGTCTCTCTCTCTCAGTGTCCAGAAGCAGTGTCTCTCTCTCAGTGTCCAGAGACAATGTCTATCTCTCTCAGTGTCCAGAGACAGTCTCTCTCTCTCTCAGTGTCCAGAAGCAGTGTCTCTCTCTCAGTGTCCAGAGACAATGTCTCTCTCTCAGTGTCCAGAGACAATGTCTCTCTCTCTCAGTGCCCAGAAGCAGTGTCTCTCTCTCTCTCTCAGTGTCAAGAAGCAGTGTCTCTCTCTCTCAGTGTCCAGAGACAATGTGCCTCAGTTTGATACGTAGGCTGTCGCGATCAATATTATCCATGATTTAGAAATTATTTGGAAGGTTTAAGTCATCTCACCTCGCAAAAATCAGTCGTCCATCCAGTTATTGTGTTGGTGAGTGGGTGGGTGCATTGGTGGGTGGGTCTATTGGTTGGTGGGTGCGTGGGTGGGTGGGTGCGTGCGTGGGTGGGTGGGTGGGTGCGTGCGTGGGTGGGTGCGTGCGTGGGTGGGTGCGTGGGTGGGTGGGTGGGTGCGTGCGTGGGTGGGTGGGTGCGTGCGTGGGTGGGTGGGTGCGTGCGTGGGTGGGTGCGTGGGTGGGTGGGTGCGTGGGTGAGTGCGTGCGTGGGTGGGTAAGTGCGTGCGTGCGTGCGTGGGTGGGTGCGTGCGTGCGTGCGTGCGTGGGTGGGTGGGTGCGTGGGTGGGTGGGTGCGGGCGTGGGTGGGTGGGTGCGTGCGTGGGTGGGTGCGTGGGTGGGTGGGTGGGTGCGTGCGTGCGTGGGTGGGTGCGTGCGTGGGTGGGTGCGTGCGTGGGTGGGTGCGTGCGTGGGTGGGTGGGTGCGTGCGTGGGTGGGTGCGTGCGCGGGTGGGTGGGTGCGTGCGTGCGTGGGTGGGTGGGTGGGTGCGTGCGTGGGTGGGTGCGTGCGTGGGTGCGTGGGTGCGTGGGTGGGTGGGTGGGTTTAGATATGTGGATTGTTTAGGTATGTGGATGACACACTGGTGGTCTGGCCACATGGCAAAGATACAATCAACGATTTTCTAAATCATCTCAACTCGCAAAACCCGTCCATTCAGTCTCCCATGAAAGTGGAAGTTGACAGAATTCTCCCATTTCTGGATATTCTGCTCGTGCGTGGCCGAAATGGTAAAATAACCCGCGCAGTGTTTACCGGAGAGAAAATGCACATTGACCCCTATCTTCATGCAGGGTCACACCATAACCTCGCACAGAATTATTCTCTTATCAAGAAAGTGATAAGTCTGAGAAGTGAAATTAAACATGTTAAAGCAGCGCTGCAATTGAAAGGTTGCAATGATGCACGAATCAACAGGGCACTGAATGCCAAACCTCAATCTAATGACACGAGCGTTGAAATTGCTCAAGCACTTAAAACTATAAATATACCGTACATTGCGGGAGTAACTGATAAACTAGCCAGATGATTTTAAAAACCAAACATCCGAGTTAGATTTTGCACGGTACGTAAAATACACAATTAATATCTGGTAGAAAGGATGCATTATCGAAGCTATCAACAGAATTCTAGATTTGAAGATTTTGTGACTGCAAGGATTGCCCACGGCCCCTTACGTTACGGCAAACTTCGGGGCCACTTCCTGGAGTCGTGGAGTTCTGCCATTACGAGTACATTTCATAAAAACGTGTTTTTATTAAAGTTTTATTAAACATATTACTTATTTTAGTTTTGTGCTGAACATTCGTCCTGTCTGCCCAACATCGCATTTGCCACAAGCGCAATTAATCCGGTACACAACTCCTGTTGATAGTCTTTGGTTTTTTCGGTAAAGTCACGTAGGTACATTTTTTTTAATAAATTAAACCCGCCACCACCAGACAGACACACTTAATCCGTTGTGCTTTTGCTACGTTGTTTACACCTGAAGAAGGACGCTTGTGTTGCGGCCGAAACGTCGTGATTTTATTTATTTAAAAAAAATGTACCTACGTGACTTTACCGAAAAAACCAAAGACTATCAACATAAATTGTGTACCGGATTAGTTGCGCTTGTGGCAAATGCGATGTTGGGCAGACAGGACGAATGATCAGCACAAGACTAAAATAAGCAATATTTTTAAAAACTTTTTTTTAAAACACGCTTTTATGAAATGTACTCGTAATGGAATAACTCCACGACTCCAGGAAGTGGCCCCGAAGCCAACGTCAGTTGAGCGTGGACAATTAGAGCAATCCGAAACATCACATATAAAAAAGAATGTTTAAAAATAGATATTATTTTTCGATTTAAAGCTTTCGTGACTGCAGGGATTCATCTTCTTGGGTCTTTCGGTAAAGTCATCACGTAGAAGGGAAGTAATAAAATAATAAAAATAAAACATAATAAAATAATTCTCACGACGTTTCGGCCACAACGCAAGCAGCCGTCTTCAGGTGAAGACCAGGTCTGTCGGGGAGACAGCGTCAGACCTGGTCTTCACCTGAGGACGGCTGTTTGCGTTGTGGCCGAAACGTCGTGAGAATTATTTTATTATGTTTTATTTTTATTATTTGCCGTCGATACCACATTGGGAAGTGGGTTAAAATTGAGTTGCAAGATTTGAGGATACAACAACAACGACAACAACAACAACAACAGGCAGAGTGAGTTCAATTAAAGTGTGTAAGAACACCAAATGAACATGAAATACTCCCAAATAAAACTGTCAGCAGTAGCAGAACACGCCTGGCAACAAGGAAATTCAAAAGATGTTTGTAATGTTGAAGTTCCGTGCAAAACTAGCTACTACTGGCGAAGACCAATTAGAGCATCTTTTGAAATTGAGAAAAAAAAATTCTAACAATTCGGATAGCTACAGACTCAGTGCTGCTTGGAATCAAATCATCAAATGATGCGTTGTTTAAATGCATGCCTATACAGGTCGCCATAGTTCAATGGGGATTACCTGTGATCGGACAATAATAAGTGTCTTGCATGATGTCAGTTTTGTGTGTTTGCTCTCCGACACACCGGTGTTTGCTGTACTAGTAACGAATTGGCCACATTCTGTTTCTGTGACAAAGCTTACGAATTGGCTGTGTCTGGTGTGGCGGGTTTAACGACACATTGATATTTACTCGATCTAACCCCCAAAAAAACCTGTATTGTGGACAATGTCTCTCTCTCACTGTCCAGAGACCCCACAGAGACATACTCAGCCACAAATGAGTACCTGGTGCGGTGTGTAAACATCGCCACTGGGGAGACAAAGGCGGTCAGGCGTGGTGCTGGCCACCCACCCCCTCGTGTACCGTTCCTGCCTTCATAGGTGCTCGCTAACAGCACTTGCCCCTACAGTCTGTGAAGGCTACACGGGGGATTTTTGTCTTTGTAGTGGTCAGCGCTACGCTGCGCTACGAACCCGGCGAACCGAGTTCGATTCCCGCTCACGGCCAACACCGGTGACGATTATCTGAACCGGTCCTGGGCATCCCCTAGGTCTGCTCAGCCACAAATGAGTACCTGGTGCGGTGTGTAAACATCGCCACTGGGGAGACAAAGGCGGTCGGGCGTGGTGTTGGCCACCCACTCCCTCGTGTGCCGTGCCGGCCTTCATAGGTACTCGCTAACAGCACTTGCCCCTACAGTCTGTCAAGGGTGCGTGTGTATGCGTGCGTGTGTGTGCGTGTGTGTGTGCGTGTGTGTGTGTGTATGCGTGTGTGTGTGCATGTGTGTGTGTGCGTGCGTGTGTGTGTGTGTGTGCGTGTGTGTGCGTGTGTGTGTGCGTGCGTGTGTGTGCGTGCGTGTGTGTGTGTGTGCGTGCGTGTGTGTGCGTGTGTGTGCGTGTGTGCGTGTGTGTGTGTGTGTGCGTGCGCATGTGTGCATATGTGCGTGCGTGCGTGTGTGTGCGTGTGTGTGTGCGCGCGTGCGTGCGTGTGTGTGCGTGTGTGTGTGTACATGTGTGTGTACATGTGTGTGTACATGTGTGTACATGTGTGCGTGTGTATGTGTGTGCGTGTGTGTGTGTGTATGTGTGTGTGTGTACATGTGTGCGTGTGTGTGTGTACGTGTGTGTGTGCGTGTGTGTGCGTGTGTGTGTGCGTGTGTACGTGTGTGTGTGTGTGTACATGTGTGCGTGTGTGTGCGTGCGTGCGTGTACATGTGTGTGTGCGTGCGTGTGTACATGTGTGTGCGTGTACATGTGCGTGTGTGTGTGCGTGTGTGTGTGCGTGTGTGTGTGTGTACGTGTGTGTGTGTGTGTGTGCGCGCTGCAGGGCTGGGCGCTGTTCAAGGGCAAGTTCCGGCAGGGAGACCGCGCGGACCCCCCTGCGTGGAAGACGCGTCTGCGCTGCGCCCTCAACAAGAGCTCCGACTTCGAGGAGGTGTCGGAGCGCAGCCAGCTCGACATCTCCGAGCCCTACAAGGTCTACCGCGTGCTGCCAGAGGGCTCCCGGGGAAAAGGTGGACAACTGGCACCATCCCATCACTCGTGTGTCACCCTCTCATCACTCGTGTGTCACCCTCCCATCGCTACGTGTGTCACCCTCTCATCACTCGTGTGTCACCCTCCCATCACTCGTGTGTCACCCTCCCATCACCCTTCCATCGCGCGTGGTGGGGGGGGGGGGTGCCGATCACCTCGCTCGCTTTGCTGTGAGTGGGTGGGTGGGTGCATTGGTGGGTGGGTGCATTGGTGGGTGGGTGCACTGGTGGGTGGGTGCACTGGTGGGTGGGTGCGTGGGTGGGTGCGTGGGTGCGTGGGTGGGTGCGTGGGTGGATGGGTGGGTGCGTGGGTGGATGGGTGGGTGCGTGGGTGGGTGGGTGCGTGGGTGGGTGGGTGGGTGCGTGGGTGGGTGGGTGGGTGCGTGCGTGCGTGCGTGGGTGCGTGCGTGCGTGCGTGGGTGGGTGGGTGCGTGGGTGGGTGCGTGGGTGGGTGGGTGGGTGCGTGGGTGGGTGGGTGCGTGCGTGCGTCGGTGGGTGAGTGGGTGCGCGGGTGGGTGGGTGGGTGAGTGGATGGCTGGGTGGGTGAGTGGATGGGTGGGTGAGTGGGTGGGTGGGTTTAGATATGTGGATGGTTTAGATACGTGGATGACACACTGGTGGTCTGGCCACATGGCAATTTTCTAAATCATCTCAACTCGCAAAACCCGTCCATTCAGTTAACCATGAAAGTGGAAGTTGACAAAACTCTCCCATTTCTGGATATTCTGCTCGGGTGCGGCCGAAATGGTAAAATAAGACACACAGCGTTTACCGAAAGAATGTGTCGGATGGTGATGGTCTGAGAAGTTAAATTCAACAGCGCTGCAATTGAACGGTTACAATGAAGCACAAATCAACAGGGCACTGAATGCCAAAACCAAATCAAATGACACGAGCGTTGAAACTGCCCAAGTAATTAAAACAATAAAGATACCGTACATTGCGGGAGTAGCTGATAAACTAGCCAGATGTTTGGAAAAAGAAAACATCCGAGTCAGATTTGGCACGGTACGTAAAATACAGGAATTCATATTTGCTACAACAGAAGGTGTGCACATGATTAACAGAAGGTGTGCACATGATTAACTGCACGTTCGGTAAATGTCATGTTGGGCAAACAGGACGAATGATCAGCACGAGACGAAAAGAACATCAGAGAAATATAAAATACTCCCAAATACAACTGTAGCAGTAGCAGTACACGCGTGCCAACCAGGACACTCGATTGCTCTTGATGATGTTGAAGCTCTGTGCAAAACCGGCGACTACAAATAACTTTAACCGTTGGGATAGCTACAGACTCAGTGCTGATTTGAAGCGAATCATGAAACAAAACGTTGTTTAAATTCATGTCTATATAGGTCACCGTACTTAAATGGGGATTCACTCAACGCAGACGGTAACAAGTACTGCTGATAGTGACCGGAGGTTACAGGGACATTGTTTGTGCATCGTGTACGTTGAGTACCTTTGGGGCCGTCCATAAATGACGTCACGCGATTTTGAACGATTTTTGCCCCCCCCTACCCCCCCCCCCCCTTCGTCACACGGCGTCACAAAAAGTCAGACCCCCACCCCCCTCAAATATGACGTCACAAGCTCTGCCCCCCCCCAAAAAAAAAACATGCTTCAAATCGCTTTAAACTATTGGAGAAAACATTTATTAAAACGTTCAATTTAATTAAGTAGAACGTGGTTTTTTTTATTTAAAGTTGCGCATTTTGATGTGACGTCACATTTCTCAAACCCCCCCCTCTCCCCTCGTCACACATCGTCACCCCCCTCCCCCCCTAGGTGCGTGACGTCATTTATGGACGGCCCCTTATGAATAACTCAACCGGCAATAGACACCCATTGTTATTTATACAAATTAATTAATCCCCCCCCCCCCCCGCTTCATACGTGAATGGCTCACAAGGGAAGTCATCACATCCACCCCTCTGTTTAAGGAACGAAACGGGAAGGATTTCTCCACAAATCTGGCAGTCGCCTGATGAAGCTGGTTGTAATTAGTGGTGAAACGTCGTAACTCAGATTGTAGATGTTGTGGCTTGGCTCTCCAACACACCGGTGGTGCTGTACTAGTATACTACACTATACACTACACTATACACTACACGAATATACACTACACTATACACTACTATACACTACACTATACACTACACTACTATACACTACACTATACACTACTACACACTACACTACTATACAATACACTACACTATACACTACTATACACTACACTATACACTACACTATACACTACTATACACTACACTACTATACAATACACTACACTATACACTACACTATACACTACACTATACACTACTATACACTGCACTATACACTACACTATACATTACTATACACTACACTATACACTACACTACTATACATTACACTATACACTACACTATACACTTCACTATACACTACACTACTATACACTACACTATACACTACTATACATTACACTATACACTACTATACGCTACACTATACACTTCACTATACACTAATATACACTACACTATACACTACTATACAATACACTACTGTACACCACACTACTATACATTGCACCATACACTACTATACACTACACTATACTACTATACACTACTGTACACTTCACTATACACTACACTATACACTACACTATACACTACTATACACTACACTACTATACACTACTATACACTACTATACACTACTATACACTACTATACACTACACTACTATACACTACTATACACTACACTATACACTACACTATACACTACTATACATTACACTATACACTACTATACGCTACACTATACACTTCACTATACACTAATATACACTACACTATACACTACTATACAATACACTACTGTACACCACACTACTATACATTGCACCATACACTACTATACACTACACTATACTACTATACACTACTGTACACTTCACTATACACTACACTATACACTACACTATACACTACTATACACTACACTACTATACACTACTATACACTACTATACACTACTATACACTACACTACTATACACTACTATACACTACACTATACACTACACTATACACTACACTATACACTACTATACACTACACTACTATACACTACTATACACTACTATACACTACACTACTATACACTACACTATACACTACACTATACACTACACTATACACTACTACACTACACACTACACTACTATACACTACACTATACACTACACTACTATACACTTCACTACTATACACTACACTACTATACACTACACTACTATACACTACACTATACACTACACTACTATACACTAAACTATACACTACACTACTATACACTAAACTATACACTACACTACATTATACACTACACTACTATACACTACACTACTATACACTACACTATACACTACTATACACTACACTACTATACACTACACTACTATACACTGCACTATACACTGCACTATACACTACACTACTATACACTACACTATACACTACACTACATTATACACTACACTACTTTACACTACACTACTATACACTGCACTATACACTACACTACTATACACTACACTACTATACACTACACTATACACTACACTACTATACACTATACACTCGTGCTGTACTAGTGACGAATTGTCCACGTTCTGTTTACGTGACAACCCTTACGTATTGTGTCAGGTGGTGGCGGGTTTATATTGACGCAATCTAACAAACAAAAATCAATATTATGGGTGGTGAGTGCGTGAGTGAGTGGGTGCGTGAGTGGTGAGTGAGTGGGTGAGTGATGAGTGAGTGAATGGGTGAGTTGGTGGGTGAGTAGGTGAGTGAGTGGGTGAGTGGGTGGGTGGGTGCGTGAGTGAGTGGGTGCGTGAGTGATGAGTGAGTGGGTGAGTGATGAGTGAGTGAATGGGTGAGTTGGTGGGTGAGTAGGTGAGTGAGTGGGTGAGTGGGTGGGTGGGTGGGTGCGTGAGTGAGTGGGTGAGTGAGTGAGTGGTGAGTGGGTGAGTGGTGTGGGTGGTGGGTGAGTGGATGGGTGGGTGAGTAATGAGTGGGTGGGTGAGTGGGTGGGTGAGTGGGTGGGTGGGTGGGTGAGTGGGTGATTGGGTGAGTGGGTGAGTGCGTGGGTGAGTGGGTGGTAGGGTGGGTGAGTGAGTGGGTGAGTGGGGTGAGTGCGTGGATGCGTGATGCGTGAGTGAATGGGTGAGTTGGTGGGTGAGTGAGTGAGTGGGTGAGTGAGTGGGTGGGTGGGTGGGTGAGTGAGTGATGAGTGAGTGAGTGGGTGAGTTGGTGGGTGGGTGAGTGAGTGGGTGAGTGAGTGGGTTAAATGCTTTGCCTGCTCTACAGGGGTCGTGGGTTTAATCTCGACTCTGACGCCTGCTGCTGTATATTTGGAGTCTGCGTCTCTCTCATCGTCATCGTCATCACGGTGGCTAGGAGATGTTAATTACCTCGCCTGGTCTACAGGAGGCCTAGGTTCGATCCCGACCCCTGACGCCTGCTGCTGTATATTTGGAGTCTGCGTCTCTCTCTGTGGTCGCTTGGGTTTTTCTCCGGGTCCTCCGGTTTTCCCCTCCACACGAAGCACCAACATCACCATGGGTTTAAAGTATGTGACTGCTGTTGTTTGTGTTGTTAATGTGTTCTTGTTGTTGTTAGTGTTATTAATGCTGTTTGTGGTGTTCGTGTTGATGATCTTGTTGATGTTGTTGTTGAGTTTTGTTGTTGATGTTCTTATTGTTGATGATCTTGTTGATGTTTTGTTGTTGTTGTTCTTGTTGTTGCTGTTGCAGGAGACACGGACGATGACGACGACGTCACGGACGACAAGATGAACATCGTCAACACAGACGCCTACAGCGTGTATCGCAGAGTGAGCGCTGTGCAGCGCACTCACCCGCTCACTCACCCGCTCGCTCACTCACTCACCCGCTCACTCACCCACCCGCTCACTCACCCGCTCACTCACCCGCTCACTCACTCACCCACCCGCTCACT